TGTACATGGGATTCCAGGTGCTGCGTGTCCCCGGGTGCTGCTCTGGGGCTCACCTGCGTGGCCTCTGGCTGAGCTCATGCTGCCAGCACTGGCCTCTCCCTGCCCTGAGGAGCCATCTGTTGAAAACACGGCACATGTTTGCACAGGGGCGTGCGGAGCACACCGCAAACATTTGCTCGGAGAGCTGGGCAGAGCGTTCACCTTGCAGAGGAGCTGAGCGTTGCGCAGGTCCAGGCGTGGATCTCGGAAAGTTCCCCACTGGGGCTGTGCAACAATTTCTGCTCTTCTCACGCTGGGCCTGCTTCAGCCGGTCCTTGCAGGGTGCTGCCAGCTCAGCTGGAGCCTGGTGCTGAGCTGACCAAGCCTACACACTTGAAATTAATCCAGACCGTTCGAAATAGCTGCGGGAACCCAGAGCCTCAATTTCAGCGGCGTGTCAGGGCTGTGAGAAGATGCCTCCCCATCCTCTGGGCACGCACGCCTGGCAGCTCAGGGAGCAGAGGTGCTCCTTTAAAGCTGCTGCAGTCAATTTTGCTCTCCCATGCCAATGCCCCTCTCTGCCTGGGGCGCTTTTCCCTGTGAAAACCAAAATGAAGCACTTTGATGCGGTGTTCTCGCCTACCTCCTTCCCCGCCTTGGCTCTGGCGTGCTCTCTGAGTCATGCAGCTTGTTTCTTCCTCTCTTTGACCTAGAACTGAGGAGAGGGCTGCTCCCATGTTTCACTCCGAATGAATGAGCCAGTTGTAATGCGATAGCCTGTTCCAGCTATTAGGGGCCGGAAAGAATTGGCTGCTCCTAGCACATTTAGCTTCTCCAGGCTTCAATGGAGCTCAGTGTACTGGACAGAGCTTTTTTTTTTTTCTTTCCAAAGCCTCAGCCAAAACATCAGCATTTTTAGATGGGTTCTGTCCATCCTTTTACTCTGCATGCTGAAAGGAGCTGCTCAGAGCTGGCCGTGGGAGCCCCTTGTCCCTGAGGAGGAGCAGGAGCCAGAAGCAGGATGAGGCTCTGGTCTCTTATGGACGGATTTATTCCTACTGATTGTGCTGGGCTGTTTGGAGCCGTTTGGGTCCTGGTGCGATGCAGAGTGAAGATGGGCTTTCCTGGGGTAGGCTGAATCCCAAGGCAGGCAAAAGGAGTCAGACTTGTGGTTTGTTTTTTTTTCCTTTCTTGCTGAGAAAAACTATTTTGGGGAGGTGTGTTGGCAAACTGAAGTGGCCAGACCCTCCTGTGCTGAGAAAGGCAGCAGCATTTTTGCTAGCAGCCTGCTTCTGAAGGGGCAGAGCGGCTTTGCTGGGAGCAAGAGCTGTCCTGAGGGTGGCTGCTGCTCATACGGCTTGGGTTAGTGCTGAAAGAAACCCAGCAAAAGTCTGAGGTATTTGCAGCTCAGGATGTGACCTTCCACCCTTGGAACTGTAATCACAGCTCTGAGCATCCCACTCCTCGTAAGCAGCCTTGTGTCAGCTCGAGAGGTGGGAGTAAACTGGCAAACGGGGACTGCAGCGAGCCTTAGAAAGAGCTTACGGTTTTGATTTGGAGGACAGACCTCTCCCTTGTTTGAAAAACAAGCCTAGACCTGTGCACCTTTCCGGGGTTACTCTTCTTTCCTTCCCAAGTGTCAGCAGCCTCCTAACAGCAGTAGCAGAGCCCAGGGGCAAAGGCAGAAGATGCTTACCGTGTGCCCTGCAGCCAGGATGAGGTTTTCTGATGAACTAGTGAGGGAAGTTTTGCTCCCTGCTGGATTTAATTAAGCACAAGAAGTAACAATACCCACATCCTGGTGCTGTAAACTGCAGCCCACGTTTGTTATTCATGAAATTCTAACCAGCCCAGAAATATTCCTCCTCCTTGCACCAGGAGGGAGGCTGTGGAGAGGACCTGCAAGCCGCTCTTCCAGCTTGGAGGTGGCTTCTAGTGAAAGTGGGGACTTGGAAGTCAGGCTTCTGCTTTGTGCTCTGCTCTAACACTGATGCAGCTCTTCTGGAATAGCTAATATCAAATAACGTATAATAATATATCTGTATAAATTGGTGAGTGCTTCTGGAAATGCTACTTCTGTGAGGTGTCTGTGTGCAAGGCGGTCTGGTGACAGCCTGTAATAGGATGCAATGTATAGAATGGTATTTTCCCATGGAAGGCTTTCAGCTCATTAGCTTTGTCTGCAAAAACCTTCCCTTATTGTCCTACCAGACGAACTATGCTATCAGGAAATCTGCAGCGCAACATCATAGAGGTATGTTGTACCTTAATGCGGAGTTCCGTGGCAATGCTGCCCACAAGGCGTGATTGCCAGGTGTGTTAACAAAGGAGCACTTTGCATAACACAAACCAAAGCTTTGCTTCTTAGCCCACAAAAAAACGGATGTAGGCACGCTACCCCTCGGGACTCTCTCCGTAACCAAGAAAAGCTTCAACTGGATTTTTCACGTCTTCCCCCACAGTAGCTTTTCACAGTCCTCCTGCTAAGATTAAAAAGGAGCCGCAGAGTCCCTCCTCGGACCCCACGCTGTCCTGCAACCACAAGCAGCCATTCCAGTACCACAATGGCGAGCAGTGCCTTTATGCCAGGTAACACCGCTCCCCCAGGCACCTATGGGGAACCGTTTCCTAAAACAAAGAGCTACCACGTTATCTGATGGGGTGGTGTCACCGCCATCTGAGCTGGCTGCTGGGTGAGGGGGGTGCGGTGCAGTACAGATCACCCCGGGGTTGGTATCTCCAGTGCGTGGGGTAGCTCCGAGCCATGGGGAGTGGATCTTGGCCAACACCTTCTCTTTTCCCTATTACTGTCCTGTTGCTGAGAGCAATGTTGACTGCAGAACTGTAACGCTGCGATATCCGTTTGACTGTCCCAGTGCCTATGATCAGCCCAGACAAGTCGGAATCAAGTCCCCCGACCCAGGAACCCCGATACAGTCACCGCTCCAACAGTTCCCTAGACAGGACCGGAGCTTCCTGACCCCTGCGGGGCCACCCCACCCCACATCCAGCTGTGGATACCTCATCGAAAACAGGTGAGTTCCCGCTAGGAGGAGCAGCTGCTGGCCAGGCTTTGGTGGTTCAGCAGCCATCCCATGGCCTCTCCCCTCTTCCAGCTCTGCCTACCAGCCGCCCGTGGAGATGTGCCGCTCCTTCCCCTCCTCACAAGGCATGGCCCGAGAAGCCCCCGTTGGCTACCAGCGCCAGCTGTCCGAGCCCGGCCTCCAGTACCCTCCGCAGGGCTTCAAGCAGGAGTACCACGACCCACGGTACGAGCAGGCGAGCCGGGCAGGCAGCAGCTGCCAGTACCCAGCAGCTGTTGTGGTCAAGCAGGAGCAGGTGGACTACGTGTACGACTCAGGTATAAACCGGGTTTTATCTTATGGGGGGGTGGAAAACTGGGAAACTGGCTGTGGAGTAGGAAATGCAATTAATTTGGACTGCTCAGCCTGCCCAAGAGAAGCTCGGGACGTTCACTCTCCATACAATGTTTGCAGATAGCGAACATGGAAAATGATCATGCAATGCCATGCCTCATCTCAGCCAGGCTGGATCGCTGTGTTAATAAATAATGGCAATTCCATTTCCATTAATGGAACCAGCCCTGGCTTCTTGGCTGGAGCCCTGACTCCTGCAATCTCTAAAAACACTTTGGCACCTGGCCAGCCCAATGCATTTGGGAGGTTTGGACAGAAATCTTGCGTTCTTAGATATATTTTTATCTGGTCAGATAATGCTGATCATTCTGGTTGGATTCCAAAGATGAGCCCTTAAAGGAAAGGAGCTTGCTCATGGGGGTTGGCTGAACTTACTGAAGGACTGGCAGAGAAAGTGGAGTTGGGGCTTCTGCCCCATGAAAAGGTACAGCAAAGGAACCGGCTTGCCCCATTAACAAGGAAGCCTGGGAGCCTCTGCTCCAGCTTTGTGCTGCCCAGTTCCACAATTTGGATTATGCCTGGTGCACATCACTGATGTGCAAACAAATGCACAGGAATGGACATAAGGAGAGAAACTTTCTCCTAGCTCAAGGTGGTTGGAGGACAGTTCATGCCATGTAACTTAGGGGCTTGAAACTCCCTTATGCATTTGTATTTAATCTAATGTTATGGGGTGGTCTCATTATTCATGTAAATGTCAAAAGCTTATGAAGGACTTGGATTCAGTAAAAACACCCCCAGGGGAGTAGACTTCACAGGATACTATGCAGTGTATAAAGGACTTTTTTCTTGCTTTAAATTTACCTTTGTCTGTCCCCCCGTTCATGTCTCACAAGAGACCTCACAAACAGAGGAACACAGAGATGAATCTCAACGCTATTTCTCCTCACTTCATATGGATGTCAGGCAGAAACCATAGCAGTGACTAGGTAAAAGCCCCTAAACCTGATGAATTAATATGCTGGAGAGCGCTGTGCAGTGAGCTCCACCACCAGCCACTGAAGTTTCTCTCTCATGACACTAGAAACGGAGGAGAGGGTGTGCTGGTTGTGCAGAGAGTTTTGGCCTTGAGGGGGTTGTGTGGGCCGCTAGGTAGCAGAAAGGGAGAAAAGTGAGGTCAGCTTTAAAGGATTTACACTGAAAACCTTCTGTAAATGACAGCAGAGAGGAAGGAATCAAATATCTTGGAGCCCGTACAGAAAACCCATCTCGGATCCCTGCAGCAGGAGGTGACCTTCGAACCCCAGCAGAGGAGAGGGGCACTGGGTGCAGGGGTTGTGCTGCACGACCCCGAGCTGCGGCTCACGGCGCTGCCTGGCCCCGTGCCTCTTCCCTGAATCCCTGAATGGAGGCAGAGGAATTTCATTCACAAAATGGAGGCGTCGGGAGATGCAGCGCTCCCAGCCCGGCTGCCCGGGGATCAGCTTTCACCGCTGACAGCGGCTGCTGCTGGAAACCCGAGTGCTGCTCCCTGCAGCAGCTCCCCGAGGGAGCTGGTGCCCCGTGTGAGATAAACCTGCTCTGTTCTGACAAACAGACCCTAAAGTCTCAAACCAAAAGAGGCTGAAGAGACTCGGGTGGCTAACAAGAGCCTGGCCCCTTCCAAGGATGGGTGAGCGTGGAGCTGGGGCTGAGCTGCCTCGTGCCGAGCCAACCTCCACCTGCTGCTTCCCATAGAAACAGGGCGCACAGAGCAAATAGCAGAGACTTCAGAGGATCACAATAGAAATAAAGTTTATAGTTCCAAAAATAGCTCTCTAGACACCAGAGCAATCAGGTAATTCTCTTACATTCCACGAGGGATAAATCTTATTTTTTTTTCTGCAGGCTTGTCCAAAGACTTGCTGCCCTGACATCACTCGCCCAATAAGCTGTTCTAGAGGGAGTGTTGCTTCTGGTGTCCTGGTGTTTTAATGGACACTTGGAATTTGGTCACTTTAGCAGAAATAAATACATAAAGAAAAAGCTCCCCCGAGAGTAGGGAACACATCGCTGCTGATACTACACTTTCACTGGGTCCTTCTGCCCAGACAGGGGAAGAAAATGTGCAAACCCCAAAGAATGCTTTTTTGAGAGTAGTTTATGATTGCAATAACGCACAGTCTGTCAGCTCAGAGTACCCTTCCGCCCTTAGCATCAGCAAAATGTCTGCTGAAGACAATGGCTTTACAGAGGAGCATAAAGGGTACGAGGTAAATCTTTCCAAAGCTCCCTGATACAGCTTCCATTTTGGCTGTGGACAGAAAATGGGTTTGTTTCAGAAAATGTGGGATTTGGAAATGAGATCTAGAGGATATAAATTACAGTGCCCAGGCAATGATACATACTGCACAGTGAGCTTAAAAAGACCTGCTCGTTTGCAAACTTAGCTGAGAAAATGTACAGGCAAAAATAATCTGTCCGGGAGAACTCCCTGTCTTGATGGGAAGAAGCCAGGGAGATGTAAGATTGGAGATTTCTGAGCTGCTGCCTGTAGAAAACATTCAGATGCTGCTGCTCTCCATTAATGCTCTTATAATGCCCCCTGGAAAAGTGTTTTTCGCAGGTGAGAACCATAACAGCACAGAGATGAAGCTTAGTTTGAGGTAACTGAGGGAGAGGAGTCATGCAAACCCAGCCTGCTGAATACATGCTTATCTGAATAAACGAGGAACTCAGCGATTGTCATCCCTGCCCTGTGCCTCACTGCTCTCTGCTGCTCCCCTGTCCCTGTCCCTGATGCCCTGTGTGGGTTTTTCCTCTTTCAGGCTGCAGCTACGACAAGCAGATGAGATCCTTCTCTGATGACGTCTGCGTGGTTCCAGAAAAATTTGAAGGTCAGAGAAAGACTAACTTCTAGTTTTGCTGTAAGGCAGGGTTATTCGGCATCCTTGCTAGCTGCTTGGCCACTGTCCACGTGGTTCATTGCGCTGTGTTTTTGCAGGTGGTGTTAGCTGTGGTTCATACTGCCTTTTTGGCATTTTGTGCTTTTTTTTCTTTTTTTAAGCAGCAAAGGCATTCTGGCATCCGTAGCTTAATTGTGAGGGGCATCAGAGCTCCTCCTAAAAGAGCTAACGGTGAATTTGCTGCTCTGGTTTATGTGAACTGAAATGTCCTGGGTGTGTTTTTGTGAAATACGCTTTCTTTGCAACTTTTTTTTTTTTTTTCTCCACACTGTTACCCTTAGAAACAGCTTGTTGTTTCTCCTCCTCAGCAGGAGACATCAAGCAGGAGGTCGGAGGGTACCGGGAAGGACCTCCCTACCAGCGACGGGGATCTCTCCAGCTCTGGCAATTTCTTGTGGCTTTGCTGGATGATCCGACCAATTCCCACTTCATCGCCTGGACTGGAAGAGGGATGGAGTTCAAGCTGATTGAGCCAGAGGAGGTGAAACCTTCTAGCTTCTCCGCGGGCTCAGGGGAGCAGCTGCTGGTTCTGAGCATGCAAATTCCCTGGTGGTTTTCCTCTGCCCTGCGAAGGCTCCTGCCTCCCAGGGGTACTGGCTAAACCCCGCAGCAAGCCCAGGTTTTTAGAAGAGGTCCAAGCACCTGGGTGACACCCGTATCAGCTTGAACAAAGGCTGGCTGTAGGTTTAGGGTCTTGGCAGTGCAGCGAGCCAAATCACCCCATCTCCACTTCCCAACGCACAGCACACTTCAGTCCCCAGCTCGCAGTGATCTGTGCTGTCTCCTCATGCTCCATGCCTGAGGCTGGCATTGAGGTTTGGGGTTTTGAACCCTACTGATCACGGAAGCTTTCATGAAAATCTGAAAGAAACCACGGCCTAGTCTAAAGGTATTCCGATATCAAAAATAATGTTAACTAAGGTGTCATTCTTAATGCCACCATGTTTAAAAAAAAAAAATCCACCTGATGATGTCTAGGAGACTTTTGGAATTGTTTGTATGTGATCAGAGCTGCTTGTAGCCCCGTTCTTGCTGCATATCACCTTTTTGGGCACTTGCCAGTGCAGATGAGCTGTTTCGGTGGGCTGACCTGCTTACAAGAGATTCCTCGGCCTCGTGGACAAAGCTGAGCTCCGCGTAGTGGGAGTTAGAGGCATGTTGTTCTTCCAGTGGAGGAGGGTTCCTGGTGAACTCATCTGATTCTTGCAGATGAAGCGTAGCACAGGATGAAGCAGTCCTTCAGCATCCTCAGGCTGTCAGAGTGCTGGAGGATGAGAAGTGGGGGCAGCAAAACCGAGGAAAAATGGCAGGAAAAATGTCTCTGCTTCAGCCCGAGTTCTGCTCTCCCTCTTGAAGAGCTGCTAGACAAATATTGAGCCTATTACTGAAATGTTAGGAGGGTTGCTATGTGCTTTGGCGTGGTCCTGCTCCTCAAAACACAAACAGCTGGGTAATGGCCTTGTGCCCTTGGGCTGGGCTCTCAGACATCCACGCGCTTTGTGGCTTTGTCCTGCAGGTAGCCAGGCTGTGGGGGATCCAAAAGAACCGGCCAGCCATGAACTACGACAAGCTGAGCCGCTCCCTTCGCTACTACTACGAGAAGGGCATCATGCAGAAGGTCAGTTTGCAAAGCAGAGCCTCTCGTGAGGCTCTGATGGGTTTGCCAGGTGATTTTGCAAGCTTGCTCTGGTGCCACCCGAGTGCCTGCAGGATTCTCCTCTCTTCCTCGCAGGTGGCTGGGGAGCGCTACGTGTACAAGTTCGTGTGCGAGCCCGAAGCCCTGTTCTCTCTGGCCTTCCCCGATAACCAGCGGCCGACTCTGAAGGCAGACTTTGACCGGCAGATCAGCGAGGAGGACACCGTGCCTCTGTCTCACCTGGATGAGAACGCCGCTTACCTGCCGGACCTTGGGAGCCTCCCTCCGCAGCTTTATGGCAAAGGCTACACCTATTAGTGCTGCTGGGAGCCGGCTGCCACCCCTGCTTGTGTATATAAGGAGATGTCTGGTTAGTATTCAATCCGTATAGGCATTTTCCCAGGCCAGCCTGAGGCTGCACTGAACGGTGAATACCTGCCACGGTCAGGAAAAGGGTTGGGGCAGATGCGTGGATAAACCAGCTGGCAGCTGACAGGGCTCCTGGGTGCTTGCGATGCCACCCTGGTGTTTGGCAGGATGGGACCAGGTCTCGGCGATGCAAACGTCTTCCGAGCAGGGCAGCCCCAGCTTCAGCAGCATCTCGGGTGGTTGCTGCCTTCTGCCAGAGCAAACTCTCCTGCTGAGCCCCTCTCTTTGGCGAGATGTTCTCCTGCTCAGCTTTTTCTCAGATGTGAGGATGCTACAGTGCTGCTGCTGGCTCTGCTCCTCCGGTCCTGAGCCTCTGGATGCCCTGTCCTCAGCAAGGGATGGTTTGGACCTGCACGGATTCACCTCTGCAAAGCCAGCCTTGCCTTCACCCCAGGGGGCTGCGCCACGGATCCGACGCCTTCCCTGTGGACTGCTCTGTGGGAACGGGGAATGCTCGTCCTGTTTGTGCATGCTCCTGCCTCGTCACCTCCCTGCCCGTAATACTCCCTGCCAGGGCTGTCTGGTATGTCGGTGCTCTGTCTGAGCAAGGCAGCTGGAGACAGGGGCCAGGATGAGAGCGGGCATGGAGCACACAGCCCTGCTCCAGCACGGGGGAACTGCAGAGCTGCCTCGTGGCGTGTTTCTGGGGTGCAGGTCAAAGCCAACGTCACCGTCAGGTGGGGGGATTGCAGGAGGCAGCCAGCCCTGGGCCACCAGTCCCTCTGAGTGGCGTGGTTATTCCAGCCCAAACGATTTCTACAGCAGCCCTCGGGATCTGTGAAGACCTGGCAGGCTCCCGGGCTTGGCTGGAAAAGCAGCTGAGGCGAGGAAAGAACCTGGTGGGGCAAGTTAAGAAAGAGCTATACAAAGTGACCTAAACCAGAGTTCTTAAAATTTCAATTTAGACTTCACCACTGCAGGCGGTTGCCTGTTTGAAGGAAATTCAGCTGCGTCGGGAGGGCAGATATCTCTGCAGCCAAACGCAGCGTGTGCAGCTGAACCACTCTCTGCCCGTTTTTCCACAATAGTGAAAATTTACAACGGGCACCACATCCCCAGTGAGATGTGCCCCGCTTTTTAATTAGGAGCTCCGGCCGTGCGCCCAGCTAGACTGAGGAGGAGTACACTGAACCCATACAAAAAAAAGAAAAAAAAAAAAGAAAAAAAGCTTTTTCCCCTCAGCTTTGGATTGACGTCCTCGCTGCTGAATACGGAGCCTTGCCAATGCCTGGAGAGAGAGGAAACTGTGTGTTGAGTGAAAGCCCCATTTCCCCCACTGCCTCACCCCTGCATGGCTAATGCCAGCCCTGCCAGCCTTGCTCCTGGGCCCGAGGCCAGGGAAAGCAGCTCTCCCTGCCCCAGACGAGGCCAGGGACGTGGGGCAGCCTCCTCTGCTGCTGCCTCCCCCTGCTCCTGGCAGCTCCTGGCCCTCCTCTGCCTTGCCCTGCTCCCACCAGGTGCCTCTGGTGTCCCAGAAGTGAGGGGGGAAAGGAACCCTGCCATTGGTATAATCTGCCTTTACTATTTATGAGTGTAAAAATACTATAATTAATAAATTGGTCTATGTCTTTGGCCGGCGGCCCTTCATTCAGCCCCTGGCTGCTCCTCCCTTCCCCTCTGTGCTGGGTTTGCCCAGCTTGCAGCCCTGGGCAGCTAAGCGAGAGCATAGGGAAGGGGGCTTGCTCCTGGATTTTGGGGGTGTTCCAGAAACAAACGGTTCCCTCCCTGAATATCCTCCCAGGATTAACCCCATCCTAGCTGAAACCAGGAACAGGGGCAGTCACCCTCACAGCCCAGCCTCAACGCCCCCCCTAAAACCCAACCTCTGCCTGCAGTGAGCCCACGCTCCCACCCTGACCACCCACCAGCCACCGAGACGAGCTCCGTGGTTTGAATTAAAGCAATTGTTCCTTGCACTGATGTCTCTGTCTTGAGCCCAGTTACATAGGCGTGGAGGAGCCCTGTCCTGCTGCATCTGCCTCCTTCCTCGAGGCAGGTGAATGTTTCCGAGGGAAGCGTTCGTGGTAATGAGAAGCTGACCTGGAGGTGTGGGATGGGCCCTGCTGTGTTACTCTCAGTCTCCAAAAAATGCAGCTGGTAGCTTGCTTTGATCTGGCAGCTCTTTCTGCGGGATTCCCAGAGCGTTTTGTGTTTGTTGTCTGCTATTCTTCAGGCTACCCTCTCGCCCAGCCAACCTTCCTTCCAGAAAGGGAATTTGGGGGGCTGATCCCTCTCTGCCTGAAATCGCAGCCCCACGTTTCGCTCGGATCTGTCAAGTCAGTGCTCAGATCGATACCGCGCGGAGCAGTTCTGGGAATGGGTGAGATCAGGTTCTCAGAACTGAGGGGCGGTGACCTCGGAAGGGCAGAGATTGATAACAGCAGCTCGGAGAGCACGGAGCCTCCCAACGCACCCTGCTCCCCGTTCAGCACGCCAGAAGAGGCTGCTGCTGAGGGCAAGGTGCCGGGGGTGGCAGCCAAGTGTCACCAGGTCTTGTGCTGCTCCTGGAAGTGCTGGCCCTGTCTCACCACATGGGATTTTACAGCATCGCCCCCCCAGTCACTCACATTTATGTGCCGAAGTTGCAACGGCTGCTGCAGGCAGCACTGCCCTGCCCTGTGTGCGTTTGGCACATCAGCGGGGAGAGGCGCACGTGGCAGTGCCAGCACAGCATGAACATTGGTGTCCCTTCCCCTTACAGATTCACAGCACAACTTTACTCCACATCAGACAGGGGGGAGCGGTAAGAAAGACAGCGCTCTTCACAGAAAACCCTATAACAACGGGGTGCTGCTCCTAACAATGCCAACACCTGGATGCAAACATACCAAATATTCTCACTTTTTACTACAGTTTACCGATCATATTCAAGATTTCTCTGAGTGGCTTATTTCTCTCTGGTGCTTTGGGACCAGCTGGAAATAAATCCTCAGCAGTCCTTTCTTTCTAATGGCATTTTTTCTAGCTTTATTTTTTTTTTCCTCCTCCCAACGTGCTTGCTGTTGTAACCGTGGCCTCGCTGTTACAGCCACAGCACAGAGCCCAGCAGGACGAACCATAAATCCCTTACCCAGAACACGATGCTAAGTTCCTTTCTGGTCACAGTAAATAATTAACACGTAACATTACAGCAGGTCCCAGATGGACCCTTCGCGTGTGCTGTCAGGGGCAAAGGAATTAGCCCTAACAGGTTGCAAGTGGAGCTGAATCGTTTTGTGAACCACATCGACAGGATTTTCTGATGCAATTTGTTGAGGCTGACCCAGGAAATATTTCTATTGACAGATTTCATGCCCTGAAATAAGCATGAGTAGTGATAATGAAGGATGAGGGCAGCAGCAATCCTCCCCTTACAGGCTGAGCGCTGACCAGGAAGGCAATAGAGTCAGCTGGAAGTGTTTGATGCAGAAAAAGCTGAAAGGCAGAGCCAGCTGCAGCAGATATTCTTCTGCTGCTTTGGTGCTGGTCCTGTCCCCCAGCACAGAGCATCAGGCACCGTGCTGGACAGAAACATTTCACACCATTACACCAGCCACGGCCAAGCATGGATAACTCCAGGGGCAATAACGCCAGGACATTTGACTCCTTGGAATGTTTTATGGAGGTATAACACTCCTGAAAAAGACATTGGCGTTAATTTTGCCAATATGCTGGAGAGATCCGCTCTGATAAATGAGTCGGCCCTAATGACACCTGTGCACTTCTCCCCATCCTCCCCTGCGCTGGAATCAGGGGAACGGTGCAATCTGCCACCACGCTGGAGCCCATTTCGCACAATTAATATCGATCCCTCAGCGCCTCGATGGCTGAGACACCGCAGAGACGAAGCGCCCGCCAGCATGCTAAACACGGCGGTGGAGGAGAGCAGAGGACCCAGCCCCAACAGGAGGCTGCCCCTCGGTCCTCTCCCCCCAAAAAATTTGCTACCCCAGAGCCCAGCGTGCCCCTCACTTGGGGAAAAAATCCCCTTCATCCCCTGCTCCCTACAGCCAGGGATGGCCACATGCAGCCTGCTCCTCTCCCAAAAAAAAACACTTTAGCAGAGCCCAGCCTCCAACCAACAAATACCCACGCACCTCAGGGGGATCGCTGCTTGCTCTGCTCGGGAGGTTCATATCTGTTCTCTCGGCCATCCTGGAACTAGGGGCAGGTAGCAGGTGAGAAAGCAAAGCAGCAGGAAGGGAGGGATCACAGGGGAGCTCGTTAGCTGTGCTAACTAATGGCACCTGATGTGCCTCGAAAGCTGGCTGCTGTGCTGCTGCCTGGTGCCACCCGTTGCCATTTCCCTCCGTTAGCTTCGTGCCTGCTTCGGAGGCAGTGCCACGGCTGCCCTTTTTGCTTTGATTCTGTAAGACAGACAGACAGACAGATCCCCCTCTGCCAGGGTTACCCAGGCACGTCACCTACTGAACTGATTTCTATTTGAACATTTTGACATAGTTAAAATAAATAAATAAATAAATAAAATAAAATAAAAATAAAAATCCCAGTACAAATTAATTAAAAATGGTTATAAAACAGCCCGGCCGATATGGCGTTTTCAGCCCATTTGCAAGAACATGGAACAGGAACACGGGAATTATGAAATCCTCCCACTTCTGTTAAGGGAATCACAGCGAGAAATCAGCACAGCAAACCTCACGAGCATCCCAGCGGAGACGAGGAGAGCCTGCGCCGACCGCTGGTGCCCGCAGAGCTTCTGGGAGGTCTCCCAGGTTCTGATCCTTCAGAGGGTCCCTCAGGGGCTGTTCTGGGGCAGGGCAGAGCCCTGCCAGTGCCAGGCTTGGACGCTGCACCAGCAGGAGGCTGCTTCAACCCCCTTCAGCACGCCCTGATGCCACCCAGCACCCCGGCTTGGCCCTGGGCTGCAGGAACAGTGGCAGCGAGGTGGCTTTGGCCACCCCAGCTCAAGGCCAGCTCTTCCTCCACGAGCGTCACCCCCATTTCCCAGCCACCTGCGTGCAGCAAATTGAGCTCTGCTCAACCACGGTCACCTGGGCTGTTCAAGGGACCCTGAGGCAGGGCATACATCCTTGAATCCCGAGGCTAATTTACCTCAGAGATGATCCTGGAGATCCAGCAGCCCCCAGGTGAGATGTAAAGCAGCCTCCCCCCTCTCGTTTGCAAGCCAGCGTGGGGCAGAGCAGGCCTACCTGCGCTCCTGTGGGTGGTGGCAGCCGGGTGGGTTCCCCTCAAACCCTAAATCCTGACTGCAAAAGCTGCCGGGATAATCCCCACCGAGCCCCAGAGCTTGCAGATGAGCCCAGCCCAGAGGGGAAGGGAGAGAAACCCGGGGTCCAAAATGCTTCAGGTGGAAACCGAACCCCCCCTGGGTGGCTGTGAGCACACCTCAGCTCTTCAGGGAGCGAGGTTTCTGTGCCAGGGGTAGAGCAGAGCAGGAGCCTCCAGCCCATACACGTTTAAATCTTAAATGGACACAGAAGAGAACCGATCAAAGGCAAGAGAGGCACAAGAACTTATAAGGATTCTCTCGACACCCGATAGACTTTTTTTTTCCTAAACTTGAAGTCTAACGCTGGATTTCCACCCGCAGGTTTTTCAGCTGCTGTCACTTGCAGCAGCTCCAGGTGGTGGAAATTAACAATTATTGAACGCAGACAGGAGATTTTTCTCCATTCCTGAACTCTCCTTTCCCAGCCGTGTGCAGAGCGGATCTGTGTTTGAAGGACCCATCAGCTACGAGAACCCCCCCATCGTTTTCGATCCAAACCAAGCAGCACCGCCCCGCATCACCACGCCGCGGGTACCGACGGCCCGGCCCGAGGATTTATGGAGGCTGCAAAACACGCTCATACAAAACACGCTGGCTAAAAACAGATCCTCGCTCAGCGTATTCCCCGCTGGATTGAAGGAACAATGCATTCATAAATGAAAAATTCCACGGAACTGCTACGGGGCGAGTCCTGCAGCCTTCTGCGATTGTCACCGAAATGTCATGAAAAGCGAATTACCCCCAAACAATCCCCCCATTGTCCGAGCAGCACGGTGCTGTCACACCGGCTCTGGTAACAAGCCCGTTAATGACGTTAAGGTAGTTACTCTAACAGATGGAGCACGTGTGGGGTGGCTGTAAAAATCATATTTATCTTTCATGCATTAAGGGCAAAAGGTTGGTTTGGGATGTGTATGAGCGTGTGTGCGCGTACACGTGGATGTTTAAGTCATTCTGTGGTTCTGAATCCTTTGTGACCAGCAGCTAACACGTGGAAATGGGCCTGCAGCTCATGCTGCTGGAGGTTAGAACCAAGCATTGTTTGCTCTGTCTCTTCAGAGAGATTCACAAGCAGAATGGGGTCCCCGTCTAGGCAAGGAACAAAACACCAAACCCCAGGGGCCAGGGACCAGCCGCGCTCCATCCATGCTCTTTGCATTAAGTGTTACACCAGCCCGTGTTGCTCGGGGTGCTGAGGTTCACGGGTGGCTTCGAATTCCTCAGAGGGCCCATTCAGCAGCTCACACATCTCCTTGGGCTTCCAGGAAAAAAACTAAGCTTTAAAAATGAGATGTTATCCATATGCATCGCTTTAGGTAAACTAAAAGCAACCAGCACAAGGCAAGAGCCTCCACCTACCTCCCCATGAAGGCTGGTGCCAGTCCGCCTACCTCTTGTAGGAAGAGCACTCGTTATGGTCCTTAATTTCTTCCTTAGCTACTCCCTCCCTCTGTTTACCTGTAGCTAATTTCCTGCTAGCTTGTTCTCTGCCAGCAGGTATAAGATAAACCCTAATTTATCTAGCAGCCAAAGCTTTCCCCCGTAATTGCAGCTCAAGTCTCTTTTCAGCACCTTAACCAAATATTACCAGGAGCTGGAGGACCTTGCAGGGGCGGTGGCTGCTGCTGTCGCTGGCGAGCACATCCCCTCCTGCCATGTTTAGAGAAATTTCCAAGCCCCCCAGCAAAAGAGCTGCTAATGGCAAGGCCACTTAGAGCTGACAAAGGGACACGTGCAGGAATTGCATGCACATACACACTTCTACTACCCAGGAAATTTTTAGCACTTATGCTGACATAACACCTCCAAAAAAACATTCCACACTAGACTCATGGCCTCTGCCGGCAGAATTTTTGGCTTTAGATAAGAAACTTTTGTTATCAGTTCTCGTTCGCTAACTCAGGACAGTGAAAACGAGCCAGAAAATCTACAGCTCATACTATTTAAGATAATCCAGTCCATTTCGACAGGGGCAGATGGTAAGCGCTCATACAAGCGTCTCATCCAGCATTGCTCAAGAAACACTTTCTCCCAGCAAGGGGCTAAAACACGCAGTCAGCTGATGCAAGTACTGCTAGAAGAAAGCATTATGCCTGTGGTTTTGTGCTGGGATGACATCGTGTATTTTGAGGTTTTCTGAATCTTTTTACCATTATACAAGATAAACCAACCAAAAAGAATCACATCAACAGTAATTAGCATGTTAAGCTTAAAAGCTTCAGAATGTAATAGGTGGGTAAAACCTATTTTAAAAAAAAAGATCAGTTTTGGTTGTGGGGGGTTCCCAGAGGAAGCAGCTGAGATCCACATAGACTTTCTGCAAATGAATTAAAAGATGTTATCGACAAACTAATTGTCAAAAACAAAGAAACTGTTGATGCATTTTGCCATACCATGAGGTGAGAAAGAGGCTACACAAGAAAAGCAAAAATCAAATTAATTTGGAACAGAAATACCCCAAAATATGCTGTCCAACTGGGACTCTCACTATTTGCATTTTCTCTTTCACATACTTCATTTGGTTTTTGAAAATTAACTGCAAAGTTTCATGGAAACAGCAACAGAAGCAGCTGCAGAGCTCCTAGAAGGAAAATGTGCTTGGAAGAATGTTCACACAGTGACATAATTAAAGAGTCTCAAACCCTGCAAAGTTTCTAATTCTATTTAACTTTTTATAAAGATGTAACACCAAGGTAAAGCTCAGGGTATTTATACAACATAATAAAACACTATATACAGCAACCTTGCCCACCTTTGTACATAGATACAGAGTTCCAATATATCTACTTAGCAGTGAGAAACATTCTTCAAAGTAGAGTAGAAGACAACCTGCCAAGCTCATTCTACTCATTTCATTAACAACTTTAACAATGTCCCAGATTTGGGGAAAAAAAGAATTTAAAAAAAAAAGTCAAATAATGGAGTCAAATAATTTTCATCTGTTTGCAACAGAAAAAAATAATTTACAGATAGCTTCAGCATGACATAAAACACACTGGATCGTCAAATCCATTTTTCAAGAGGGAACTGTTACACTGTGTTTTACAGACATTTCAGCTGTAAGAGAACATTCTATTAAAAAAAAAAAACACACAACAGTTGTGATGTCACCAAGCATTGTAAGTGGAAATAGAACACATGACACATTGTAGAGAAAGTCTAAACATCTGTAAGCACTTATGTTCATAGACAGAGCCGTGCTGCAGAGTGGATGTGGTTAATTACCATTTGATATACTAGCCTTCAGCACACAGGAGATGGTGATGAAGGATAAGGCTTGCAGTCTGACCTGTGCCATTGTCCAAGTATAACAGACATTCTAGCCGGGTTTCAAGGGATCTTTCTTGTATTATTCCAAAGCCACAGATACTAAATACCTCACTGCAGATGGCTTGCGTAAGAGACAAATAGTTACAGTGACCAGAAAAATGCATAAAATAGGAAAAACTGAGGATAAGCACCTCCCAGAAAACTGCCACTGTCCAAGAGCATAAATTGAAATAAATCCCTTTTAGCAGGGTAAAGAAACAAATTTTTATTTGGTCATTCAGAGCGGTTAGGTTGGTGAACGACTATTTCTTAATCACCGTCTTTTTGTTGTTGTTCTGCTCAGTGCCCAGATTTCTGAGTCTTAAGATTTTCTCTCTAAAAAAGGAGAATGACTAAAAAAGTGTTTCAAGAACCATTCCTGAAATGATGCAATACATTGAGGAGTCCCAGGACATTTGTCATGCAGCTGTAGAATCTGAGGGGCAACTGACATGAGCAAGCATCGCCCCCTTGTGCTTCTGCTCTGAAAATACTTTTCATTTTGTAGGTGAGCTTGAAGTGCAAGAGTCCCAAAAGGACACTCAACACTGCAAAATGACAAATATAAAACCAGTAACAGTCTAGGGGGGAACTAGGCTCATCGCCGTCTGAATGCACGTGATATCCTCCAAGCGTTGGGCTCCTCGTAGCGGTTGTAGAGGGGTTCAAGCCGCTGCTGCTTTTTCTGTTTGCTCAGTTTGGTTGGATCAGAAACCTTGAAGAATGCTGGTGCAAATTCCACCAGCCAGCGTGGGTCAATAGTTGTCACTTCACGCATGTACTCCTTGGTGGTCAGCACTAGCTCATGATACACCACCCTGTGAGAAGAGAGCAACTTGGGATATTAGTATTTCCAAACAAGAAGAGGCACGGCAAGTGCTGCAGTATCTAAGCTCACCCTTTTATCTCTGATTCTTCCCTCTGTCAGCATAAGACTCTTTATAAGCTCTGGTGCAGGCTATATAAGAACCATCCAGAAGAGTCATCATCTTTTTCCTCTCCTTCCTCACACCTACTCTTCAGCATAAAGCTGCTCTCTTCTGTTTAAAACGATTCATTCTCTCCCTCAGCATTTCAACACTGAAACTCCATTCCACAAGACAGGAACACAATCACAAGGCTTCAGTCCCAGCCTTGGTTTGAAAAGTAAGTCTCACATCTGCACAGGCACAGATTTTAGCAGCAGAAAGAGCCAAAAGCAGACTTGAAACTTTTCTCACTCTGCTCCTTGCTGAGAAGTCAGCAGCCTATACTTCAAGCTGTATTCTACAAATAGTGCACACCATCGGCTTCTCAGTTAGAAAGTCTGAACTGAAACAGAATTATGTAACAAGCCCTTCCTTACCATTCGGGCTGTCTGTTGAAGAGAGCACTGGATGGGTGGATATAGACCACCTGTTGATCAATGAGTGTCCGATAACCCTCCTGGGGATCCTTCTTTGCAGCATTTCTGAAGAAACCGCTGCAGATGGCCTTCTGGACTCGAACCGTTGCCTTGCCACAG